TCAGATGAATAGGATGTTGCACTTTGATGAAAGTCTTGGGAGAGTCAGTAGATTGGCTTGCAAGAACTCATTGTTGTTGTTGTTTGCGACAAGACCAACTTTAACAGTTTCAAGAGATTCCAACTTGCCCAAGAAATGTCTCATCTGACTCAGCTCTTGAAAAGAGCCTCCATACTCTGAAATCTCTACCACTTTCACATGACATGTCCATAAACAACATATTTCCTCTTCCTTCTCCCTTTTCTGCCTCGGCTTCTCCGGGATGCAAGCGCATGCATCTCCGCATCGGTTTGTTACTCTGTGCACAAGACCCTGTAAAACCAGACCAATTTGACATGTAATTTAATGCAGCAACAACAACAACACGGAAAAACAAAAAGTAGAATCTCGATATATAAGGAAAATGATAGTACCTTGATTACTAAAGTGTGTAGATTTGGACAGCTCTTGAGCAGAAGTGGTATTACTTGCCAACCTTTTTCCTTGTTACTCTCAATAGATAAATTGAGTAGGTTGTCAAAATCCGGCATAGATTCACAACAGAAGTAAAATGCCTGATGTATAATAATATCATCATAACCAAATATAAGTGACCAAAAGAAAGAGAAGCAATAGAAAAAGAAGAACAGACTGACCTCAAGGGAATCAGGAGACAAGTGAAGGGTTGTGATGTTGCTTATCGCAGCAACAAGATTTGTAACATTGCCATATATAGCCGACTTTGGTTTAACAACATCACGAAAATAATAATAATCATCGTAATCAAAATGATTAGTTGACTCCCATAACTTGAGACTCAGCCTGGCTTCGACGAGCAACTCCAAATCAACAAAATCATAATTTTTGGCGACATAACTAGAATAGTCAAGGTACACAAGACTTGGTGTTCGAAAAGAAACTAGTCTGTGAGAATTTTGATACTTGGGAAGATTGGTAAAAACAACAAGTCGCTTGATGGATGCACTTTCCACGCGTGTACTAAAACATGGCGACTCGTTAAAATCACCATCACGTATGAATAACTCTTGCAGGACAGGGCAGCCATCGATGAGGTGAGCAAAGATGGGATAACCAATCGTAGCTGAGAAGAGGGAGAGCGAAGTGAGGGCGGGGAAAAACACATGGTCGAATTCAAGATAAAAATGACCAGTTATACTGAGTTTAACCAGTGTGTTGCTGGTGAACAACTTGGTCTCTAAGTCAAAACCGCAAGGATAGGCGTACAAGTGTAGTTCCAATAGAGGGTGTTGTTGCATCGCAGTCCAAACCCAACGGTTGACACAATCATTCAGACGAGAGTATTCATGTTCAGAGTTGCAACGTTGGACATGAGACAAAGAGAGTTTCTTGATGATGGGAGAAAGGGTTAACAGAGCAAAAGTCTTGTCTACGAAATCAGTGAAGCGAAATGAACCACTTTGTGCTTCTTCTTTGTTGGGATACACAACCAAAGAGTCATCAAAGCAAAGGGTGTCTACAAGAGGCAGCAGGTTCCTCCACCTCCTGGAAAGAACCGATGTGGAAGCAGCCACTTTGGTCGGAAGTAGAGACAGGATTTTGCCAAGAATCTCATCTGGCAAATTGCTGATCGAATCACTACCACAACCAATTTCCATAATTAAGGCTCTCCTTTTATTATACCTAACCTACACACACACAAAAACACTCGATTAGGGTCGAGCAAAGTTCCTCCTACAGAATGTTTTGCAATCAAACAAGTTCGAATTTAATTTAGTACAAGAACAAATTTTGGACCAAAACAAAAGGAAAACTTACGAGGCCAGAGGAAGATCGACAAGCTTTGGTTTGATTGAATGGAATTTTGCAATTTCAGGTTTAAGATTATTTTTCAATTTTTGTAGCTCTTTTCGAAAAGTAAATTTGGCCCCAAAATATGGGGCGTTTTTGTAAACACAAAACATATAGTAATTGTTTGTATGGGTTAGTTAATCAAGGATTTATCTACAAGTACAACTTATCAACTCAATCTTTAATAACGTCTCTCCTCTTTCTAATATTAACTTTTTGTCTGAAATTGCCAAAACATCACAAATTGTGAAAAACATTTCACTTCTTGACCAAGTAAAAAGAAATACATTCATGAGTTTCTATTTCTCTACAAAGAAACATAACTTGTTGTAAAACCGGTAAGACTTACAAAACTATCAGCAACGTACATCAATAATCTAAATTGGTATAATCGACTAGTCGCGTAGTAGCGGACTTAGAGACTCCACACTGAGAACAAGTTCACACCTCTAGCTCTCTGAAATTACAAAAGAGAAGCAAAATTAGAATAGCCAAAAGAGAAATGTATAATAAAGCTGTCAAACCAAGAAGAATTACTGTTTTGAACAGCTTGATGGTATTTGGTACTTACTTTGCATTTTGGCTTTGCTCCATTTCTCAATTGCATTATACCAATCCCATTGGAAAAAGAGAGCGGTTAATCTTATAGGCCCTGCGGTTATAACTTCAACAAAAGCGAGCCAAAATGATCTCTGAGGGGACATGCCGGTTGTCGCGAGAGACAGTAAGAATCCTTCAAAGTTGCAAGAGACAGTGAATTTTCCTGCTTTGATTCCATCCATAGCTTTTTTGGCTACTTCTTCTGTTTTCATTGAACCAGAGGACGCAGCTATTATTGCAGTGACCTCAGGTCTGCTCTTCTGTTCTGAGAGAATCAAATGTAAACTCTTATCATAAATATGAAGCAAGGAACTCAGAACAACAGTCAATAGTGTTTTTACTTCACTCTCAGAGAGTAAAATAATCCATCCTCTTATTCTCTTCTAAACAATATCACTAGACAGTACGCAGAGACATTCTGAAACACTATCATAGTCAGTACACAGTACTTAAACACATCACTCTATCAGTTTCTCCTAGTCGGCAAATTTCATACTATAGAAGAAAATGTAATACTACGAGTTTGATAAAGAGTATACAATCATTCAAACCAGACAAGGACACAAGCAAGCAAACCTTTCATCTCATTAAAAAAACTGGATCATATTAGTTTATTATGTCTACATATCTCCCAACCATATAGTACAGCCTTAAGTAGTCTGTCTCCAAAAACTCTTTGTATGCATTTAATTGTGTTATTCGCTTAGTACACCGTAAACTCATTCGTAGCGGTACCTAATCCTCCTAGCTACATTCATGTTGTACCATATACTCATAATGAATCTAAGCTTTCTCAAGGATTGGTTTTTTACCTTCCTCAAAGCCAGGTGTATCAGTGTCAGGTGGGAAAACAAGAGTGACATGAATATCATCAGCAATAACTTCTTGTTGCAGTGATTGTGCTAAACCTTGAAGCCCAAACTTGCTTGCTGAATATGCTGCATAACCATATATACCCACCTGGAAGAAGAAAAAGTATCAAACATTCTTCAAAATGCTATCTTTACACAAACCCAATTCAACGATCTGATTTGCTAACCTAGAGACGAACCTGACCGGCTTGAGAAGAGACGAGAGAGATGGAAGCAGGTCCACGATCTCTCCTTGCTTTCATTGCAGGCAAAGCAGCTTTAATCAGATTGAAGCTTCCAACGAGATTGACATCAATCGTGAACTTAACATCTTCCGGGCTATGGTTCACAAGCTCCTTGGCAACAAACACGCCCTGATTCACAATCAACACATCGATTGGACCAGATTCATCAATCGCCTTCGAAACGGCGTCGTAATCGCGAACATCGGCGGAGAAAGTCGCGACTTCGACACCAGTGGCGAGTTTGATTGATTTCTTGGCTTCATCGAGCTTACTGGCGGATCGTGCGAGGATTGAGACGCGAGCACCTTCGGAAGCGGCTCGTTGAGCTAAGGCGAGACCGATGCCGCTAGATCCGCCGGTGACGAAGACGTGACGGGATTTGATCGGGATTCGGATGGGTCGAGGACGTACGATTAGGGCT